TCTGGACTTAGTAACGCTCTGGGCTCTGGACTTAGTAACGCTCTGGGCTCTGGACTTAGTAACGCTCTGGGCTCTGGACTTAGTAACGCTCTGGGCTCTGGACTTAGTAACGCTCTGGGCTCTGGACTTAGTAACGCTCTGGGCTCTGGACTTAGTAACGCTCTGGGCTCTGGACTTAGTAACGCTCTGGGCTCTGGACTTAGTAACGCTCTGGGCTCTGGACTTAGTAACGCTCTGGGCTCTGGACTTAGTAACGCTCTGGGCTCTGGACTTAGTAACGCTCTGGGCTCTGGACTTAGTAACGCTCTGGGCTCTGGACTTAGTAACGCTCTGGGCTCTGGACTTAGTAACGCTCTGGGCTCTGGACTTAGTAACGCTCTGGGCTCTGGACTTAGTAACGCTCTGGGCTCTGGACTTAGTAACGCTCTGGGCTCTGGACTTAGTAACGCTCTGGGCTCTGGACTTAGTAACGCTCTGGGCTCTGGACTTAGTAACGCTCTGGGCTCTGGACTTAGTAACGCTCTGGGCTCTGGACTTAGTAACGCTCTGGGCTCTGGACTTAGTAACGCTCTGGGCTCTGGACTTAGTAACGCTCTGGGCTCTGGACTTAGTAACGCTCTGGGCTCTGGACTTAGTAACGCTCTGGGCTCTGGACTTAGTAACGCTCTGGGCTCTGGACTTAGTAACGCTCTGGGCTCTGGACTTAGTAACGCTCTGGGCTCTGGACTTAGTAACGCTCTGGGCTCTGGACTTAGTAACGCTCTGGGCTCTGGACTTAGTAACGCTCTGGGCTCTGGACTTAGTAACGCTCTGGGCTCTGGACTTAGTAACGCTCTGGGCTCTGGACTTAGTAACGCTCTGGGCTCTGGACTTAGTAACGCTCTGGGCTCTGGACTTAGTAACGCTCTGGGCTCTGGACTTAGTAACGCTCTGGGCTCTGGACTTAGTAACGCTCTGGGCTCTGGACTTAGTAACGCTCTGGGCTCTGGACTTAGTAACGCTCTGGGCTCTGGACTTAGTAACGCTCTGGGCTCTGGACTTAGTAACGCTCTGGGCTCTGGACTTAGTAACGCTCTGGGCTCTGGACTTAGTAACGCTCTGGGCTCTGGACTTAGTAACGCTCTGGGCTCTGGACTTAGTAACGCTCTGGGCTCTGGACTTAGTAACGCTCTGGGCTCTGGACTTAGTAACGCTCTGGGCTCTGGACTTAGTAACGCTCTGGGCTCTGGACTTAGTAACGCTCTGGGCTCTGGACTTAGTAACGCTCTGGGCTCTGGACTTAGTAACGCTCTGGGCTCTGGACTTAGTAACGCTCTGGGCTCTGGACTTAGTAACGCTCTGGGCTTAGTAACTCGCTGGACTCTGGGCTTAGTAACGCGCTGGGCTCTGTGCTTAGTAACGTACTGGGCTCTGGGCTTAGTAACGCTTAGTGGGTTTAGTAGACTTACCTGAGACCCAGCAGAGCCCATCTGAGAGTGACCCATAGATCCTGCACAGCCCATCTGAGACTCTCTATGGTGGGCTCTGCAGGGCCGCAGGTGGGCTGGTCACCGGGGTCCATTTCCCTGTACCTCCCCCCAACTCCTCTTACCTGCTGCTGGGGCCAGGCCTCCTCCACCTCCTCCCCTGTCACCCCTGCCATGCCGTCCCTGGTACAGCTGATACTCATGTAAGAGGCCCCCCAGGCTGCCCAGATCCCTCACATGGGTACCGGCTGTACCCCAGATGGCGGTGTTCTATCAAAGTTTGTGACTAGGTTGGAATGTGTGACCAGTGACGTGGTCACACATTCCAAAGCCAGGACCCGTAAGCCAGGTCCTAGCCGGTCCGGACCTCACTGGGCCCCCCCCCCACAGCCTCGAGGCCCCGGCGGTAGTTCCGCCCGTGGACAGGGAGCTGCAGCAGAGGCATGAAAGAGCCACATGCGGTTATGTTTTTAGCTACTGTATCTGTAAGGGTGCATTTTTTTCTACTGGCCATCAATGTAAGGAGCATTCTTCATACTGACCACTAGGGATGCACCGATACCGGTTTTTCCGGTATCGAGTACGAGTACCGATATTTTGCTTTCGGTACTCATCGATACTGAGTATCTGGTGCTGCTGTTGGTGTGGAGCCGGCTTCCCGGGCAATCTGATTGCCCATAAAGCTGGCTCCATGTTTTCTGGCCGGCTTGATTGTGCTTGGCCGGGAAACCGGCTTCCCATCCAATCAGCAAGGAGTCGGCTTCCCTGCCAATCAGGAAGCCGGGAGGCGGGTCATTAGTCGCCGCCCGGCTTCCTGGTCGTACGGGAAGCTGGCTCCATGTTCCCCTACGGTACTGCCCGTCAGATGTAATGTCTCTCTGACTGGAAGTTCCGGTATCGGGGAAAGTATCGGAGCTCTTGGGCGAGTACAAGCCCAAATACTTGGTATCGGCACCGATACTAATATCTGTATCCGTGCATCCCTTCTGACCTCCAATGTAAGGAGCATTCTTCCCACTGACCTTAAATGTAAGGAACATTCTTCCCACTGACCCCCAATGTAAGGGACATTCTTCCCACTGACCCCCAATGTAAGGGACATTCTTCCCACTGACCTTAAATGTAAGGAGCATTCTTCCCACTGACCCCCAATGTAAGGGACATTCTTCCCACTGACCCCCAATGTAAGGGACATTCTTCCCACTGACCACCAATGTAAGGGACATTCTTCCCACTGACCACCAATGTAAGGAGCATTCTTCCCACTGACCCCCAATGTAAGGGACATTCTTCCAACTGACCACCAATGTAAGGATCATTTAATCTACTGACCACTAAGGGACATTCTTTTCACAGACCACTAAGGGACATTCTTCCCACTGACCCCCAATGTAAGGAGCATTCTTCCCACTGACCACCAATGTAAGGATCATTTAATCTATTGACCACTAAGGGACATTCTTCTCACTGACCACCACCCGCATTTTGGACCTCAGTCCCAAGGATGCTGTGTCCTGCACGATGTCCCGGGATCACAGTGTCACCCTTATTTCAGGGTCTGCACATTCACCAGTAACTCTGGAAGGCATTCATTATGGTGACTGGGCGTTGCGAGTGGGTGGTCCTCACATAATTAGAGGTAAGGTTTGGGCATGTCACTCCGGTAAGTGAGTGGTGTCTTGGTGGGACCACCCGGAAGCCTGAGGCAGACGGCGGACTGGGAATAAGATTTTGGGAACTATGCATTAGCTGGGGACGTGATGTTAGATATTGAAGAACAGAGGAACCTCAACTCTTAATATTTAAAAAGTCATGTGGTGGCCATTTTAGAATTTGGATGGTGGAGCCCTGGACCCCAAGCTTGGTGGAAGTTCAAATACACCAAACTCTCTACTGCCTCATGAAGCCCCAACAGCCTCCCTGGGGCAACCGGCTTTTATAGAGTGCAAAGAATGAGAGAGCGCCAAGCTGTAAGGATTGGTCCAGATATTCATTTGTACATATCACAATAAAAGGGTCTACGAAAAGATCACAGCCAACGCGTTTTTGGTGTTATGTACATATTACCTTTCAGCAGGGCTTAGCTTTTAATGTGCGAGAGGGGTCCGGGTTGGGGGTTCATCCTGAATTCTGATTTTTTTTAATAGGCTAGAGTTAAAACTCACTTAGTTACATCGTCTGCCAGACAACTATATCCTTATATCCAGGACTTGCCACCCTTCCTGTTCCCAATGAAGGGGGATTTTGGATTTCAAATCTTAAAAAAAAAAAACCTTTTGCTATATGAATGGACCGATTCCTGCAGATTTGCGCTCTTTTCCTGTCACTCCATACAGCGCGGGGACCATGTCAGTGCCTGCACGGTGGTCATGTGACTTTAAGCCAATTGCACCCGTGCGACCTGCAAGAAGAAATTTGATGCTAAATTTCGGCAAAATCCGTAATTTTGGGATAAAATCCTATTTGGATGATCCGGACCAGTGCC